AACGCGTATTATACGTGTATAATAGACATTGATTATTATATTATGTATAAATTATATATATATATACACCTCCACACACATTATTGTAAATAAACGGTTGTAAAAATAAAAAATAAAAATCCGTGTAATTCCTAGTTCTAATTTTTTATTTGAAGTTTTACGGTCGAATTAATAATTATTACAGTCGATAGTCGATGCAACGTGCACGATATTAGAACAATAACACGGTTGCCTACAAATTATTAAATGTTATAAGATATCATGATAAATATATTATAGTAACCGTCTTCGACGAATGAAGACCTATAGTCGTGAACCACGATGTTGTATACGTATATACAATACTATGTGAACAACAATAATGTATAACAATGATCGCGTTTAATAGAAAGTTAAGAAAAGTGCATGTTTCCCTCGCACTTTTAATTGCACATTTTTATTATGTCAAGGTCGCACCGTCTCTTGAGACAGTATGTGCACGGTGCACCTACAAATTGAACTAAAATCAAACATATATATATATATAATAGGTCAACTCGAATAGCAATAAAATCAAAGTCGGCGTGTAAAACGTAAAAGCTGAGATTAGTATATAATACAACTTATTTCACTCTATATTGATTTGCAGGTAAAAGGATAATGTATACAAACAATGAGTCATATTTTTAACTCTGCATGGAAACATTCACCGTACTAGGTATAGGTACATAAATATTTAGTATTTTATTCATTGATGTGCCTATTACACGTCAATATTTAGTATTTTATTCTCGTAGTCTATTTTCCAATTAAAATTCAATGCAATACTGAATACCCAAATGCAGTATTCGAATTCAACCTATAGCAGGTTTCGATGGTCATGGTCATTATATGACACATATAGCGGTCAAGTGTATATCCGAAAAGATAAAATCCAATAGATAACATTTTTCATTTAATTAATTTAAAGAAGGAAATAATAATTTTACTAAATATGTAAAGTACAGGATCGTGAAAAACATAATATTTTATAAACAGCCACTTCAGACTTCGATGCTATATTAAAGGGTATACACTTGGGTAAATTATAATAACCTTGACATTATTTTAAGTGCATACTGTAATAAATTATTGTTAATGAATAATGGCACATTAAACTCAATACATAGGTACCGTTAATTTATTTTTAAATAATAACAAATATTACATTTTCTATACAAAATGAATTGTTTAAGTATTTGTTTAAATTCATACTATATGATATTTTTAATTAGGCACACTTTGAGTTTTCAGTTATTATCATTAGCCGTCATTACCATATTTCATAGATAGAATATATAAATAATGCAACGGCTGAGGTAGATGTTTTTTAAATTATTAGAATTAAATTAATTATAACATAAACATTGTCCAAGTTTCTCTTAATTAACTGTGTATATTTACTCAATTAATATTGTTCAGATTTTAAATTTATCTATATATTTATAAAAATTAATGTACGCTTGGATGAGGCTTATAGACTTCGATACTACTGAACCAATTGGCACCAAATTTTGTACACATATTCTTTGACACTCGGGGAGTGTTTATAGCTTCGTTTTTCAACCGGTACAGATTTCTAAAGGGTGGCTCTTACATGAATTTCGTTTTGGCCACGAAAATCGAACATTATTTTGTTTAAATAATGTAGGGTTGCCATTCGTTAAAAAAACATTTTTTTTTTAAAAAATGGTATTGTTTAGACCGAACGTGCGTTTTAAAGATATTTAGAAATTTTAGAGAGTAGTTTGATCCACGTTCATAAATAAATCAAGTAAATATCCAATCCCCCACAGGCGAATAGCCCATCTCGGTCGAATTAGTTCACAAAACGAAGTATGACACCGATATATACCCGTGAACTGAGTAGGTACACTAAAACCGATACATAGCCGTATTTTATATGAGTTCATTTTTTCCCGGGCGAAACTGGGTTATACAGCTAGGTAGTTATACAGCTAGGTATATAATTGGAGAAAAACAATTCTATTAGTTTTATGATTTTTATATACGGGTAATTTTTAACTTTGATACCTACATAGGAATACAAATAGCTATAGGTATATTTAACAATTTATTTTTCTAAAATATTTTCGTTCTTCCATCTTATATATTATATTGATCGATTCTAAACAGTATGTTCAAATTTGTATAGAAATTACTAATATAATGTTATAATAGTATTCAAAATAACAACATTAGTTAATGTATTAATCTGATTTGGTTAATTAGGTTAATTTAGGCTAATGACAAATACCTAAAATAACTCGTATATAAGAACATTTAAACATCAACAATATCACAAGTTATATTAATGATTAAATATACTAAAGTGAAGTGCTTTACATGCCATAAGTAAGTTCTATATAAATTATTGTGTTATGCCTCTCCTTGAATATTTAACTCGGGTAACACTTGAAAAAAATAAAAGAAGATTTGCAAAATATTGTAAGGTTTGTTTTCACATGCATTGTTCTAAGATAGTACACTTTCACCTTGGAAATAATATCATGTTACTATATATATCTAATATTATGTTGTTTTATGAGTTTAAAATCATAGACGTACGTGAATTATAGTAATTAAAACAATTAATATACGTTTTACGCATTATGATGTGTACACTTTCAGAGTAGATCACATAGAAGATAGAACCAAACACAGAACTTTTGTATTTTATTAACGAAACGTGCAGGTAATTTAATTGCAATAAAATGGAATTAGGTACATGATAACATAATCGCCTATATTATATTAAAATATATACAGTAGCAATTTTCCATTTATAATAGGTTCCCTTTCCGATGGTATTATTTTAGAACATGATCGATGAGTTATATTAAAAAGTTATAAGTTATAAATAACCGTTACTTCACACTTGAGTGACTTGACACTTGTATACATTCTGAACAATGATGGAAATAAGGCAAAATAAAGATCGATATGGCGCTCAGTAGTCAGTATACCTATACGTATAATACGCAGACAAATTTTTTAATTCGGATAAATACGATTATGCGTTTCGTTGTTTAATCTTTCCGACTCTTCCGCAGAGTATGCATATTAAATGTGCCTAAATGTATATGACGACTCGATGCGGGGAACTGCGGATTAATATATGGGACCGGAGGATAGGGTGAATAAAAAATGATAATTACGAGGATTTTCGAGGTGACATTATCGTGCGACGTTGTGTGCACAGTTTCTGGTGCACAGCACTATACGGTCTGTCAACCAGGTTCAGAAATACATTTTGGCCGGCCGCCAAATTTTGGACAGTCCAAAGCGAAACGGTCATTCGACCTGAAGAATTTTCTTCTTCACGCGCCCGCCCCGCGCCGCCGGATCTCCCGACAATGTATAATATACCTCTACCGCTGTAAGGTTATTGCCATCGTGATAAACTGCCAAATCGGCTTTTAAAAAGCGCGGAAATTGTACGCCGGCCGTGTTACACGACAATCGAATCCCCGGACTACTGCTGCAGTATAATATAGACCCTTAGCCGACGTCTATCCTGCACTCACACGTGGTAATATTCTGTTTGAGGAGGGTTACGATAATATAATATAATACACTGCAGAGCATATGGTACCCAACATCAGATCTCAATCCGAGGATTCTTCCCTTTCGCCCAAAGTATACAGGGTGTTGATCTGCAGGGTGACTAGGTCTGATCGCGTCTTATGCGGCGAGTAGAGGGTGTGATTTTTAAGATCGACGACTATAATATTATTATGACGTATTGTTTCGATATTCTACTCGTGCAGGTATTAAAATATGGAATCATGAAAATGTATAAATATAAATATATTATTATTATATTATAGGTAATAGGCAGGTATTGAAATTTAAATAAATATAATATAATATATAAATGATTATTTTGCTATAGCTACATAACACTATATAGATATTAGATATTATACCATTCACAGCACTTTTGGTATTTCCTACACTGGCCGATTCGAGTTCTGGCACCCGTTAGAATTATGGTCTGGTACTTCCAACGCACATAACGAGGAAATGTAATTATGATAATCGACTTAAGGTGCACGAATTAAATGGGGAAAAATCGATAGTCTTAAATCCGCACGTCGTATTTAATTCGATTAAATGTGTTGTCAATGCCTAATTACAATAATAATATAGGTACACACAAGTACGCCGTATTGGTACCGTTCCAGCAGGAGTGGAGCTCCTAACCAAATAAACCGTGTAGGTAGCCGACGAATTATAAATATTTTCAGTGAAACTTTTTTGTTGTATTTTTACGTTTTAATTAATATACTAACATACCTGCGACACTTGTGCGACGCACATAATATTATAAATTAAAAGAAATCGGGAATCGACTGAAAGTGTAGGTATCGCCAGCTATATGGCCATAAAAAGGCGATATTTCGACGGGAAAGAACGCTGGAAAAATTCAAACAATGAAGACCCGCTAACCTTTTTGCCCCACGCCCCCGACTGACACACGGACGATACGCGTACAACGTTATCGGAGGGGTTGTTTTCAGATGGAATTCAATGAGCACCCCCCCCCCCCCCCCTCAAAAAAAATCTCGATCTTAAAAAATAGCCGAAACTACGATATTACTCCGTACTCGGTAGACGACCTTTCTGAAATAAACGGTACTCGACCGGGCTAACGAATAAAATAACAATGAAAAATCTGGTCGGTGCGATTGCATAAAAATCATTACAATGCGTTTGAAACACGACGGAATCGATTGCGCTGACGAAATTGGAATATTATATTGACGGGACGATGTAGTTATTACTTATTATAACGCAACATTATAAATATGAATAATAATCGTTTGTTTTATATTGTCTTCGGTAACAATACAGTCGCAATGCCTTATATTGACTTTAATGAACGACCGCCTACGACACAGCGACGAAATAAAAAAAAAAACACATTAAACGTAAATTGTAACAAACAATTAAACACTTGAGTCAATAAATCGTCTTACCTTTTCTTTGGCTCTTCCGGCGTGCTTGGACACGGATTTGGCTATAAGGGATCCCTTGCTCTCGGCCATGACGTTCTGACTCGAGTCACCAATGCACAACAACTGATTCATGTCGAATTGTTGTGACCGCCGTCGTCGCCGCCGCGTTATCACCGCCGCCCGACCGCCAGGGTCAGCAGCTGCTGCTACTAACAACACAGCCGCCGAGCGTCGTCCGGTCTGAACGTAGGAACGCGTTCACCGAGTGAAGGTACCGACGACGGCTAAAATGGCACGTCGTTCGTTTGAATGTTTCGCGCGTTACCGATACGATTCTGTTTAATACTAATAATATTGTTGAATGCGCGTTGTACGATTTATCGCGTACGATCGAATACAATTATAACTTATGGTATCGCGAAGGATGCCGAAAATCTCCGCGACCAACGAAACCACAAAACACCCGAGTACGGCACAACACTGCTAGCAGACGCGGACCGAATAGCGTATTAGCGCGTATCGGCGCGGCGCGCGGAGCGCGGAGCGGAGGACCGCGCTCAGAGTTTCTTCGCCGCCCGCGATTGGTGCCCCCCGTGCAGTGCGCGTCCCCCCCGGAAAGCGACGGAAAACGGAACCGTAAAAAATAACAATGACGGAAAAAACAGACCGAATCGCTGGAAGGGAAATGCATTGTGCTGCAGCGCCGCGGAGACGCTCTCGCCGCCGTCACATAATATACATATACCTGGTAACTTACCATACCTGTAAATTATAATACATAATATTATAACAATAATAATGACTAAAAAATTATAATAATAGGTAGGTAGGAGGTAGGTGTAGGTATGAGATACACGTCATACGCACTCATACCCATTTGTATATTTTTATTTTTTAATCGACGACTGACACCCAAACGGGCCATAACGAGACGTGTGTGGGTCCAACGGCATGCATTGAACCAACAGCTACTGCATAGGTAGTAGATACTTTATAAAGGTAATCCGTACTCACATTATAATTTATATAGTTGATAATTGCTATAAATATATGCGTAGGCACATCAAATATTTAAGTATGAACTAGATTAATTCAATGTACCAACAAAACTTAATGTACAAAAAAAAAATGCCCGAGTGAAGAGGACGATCGCGTTTCAACACCACACCGGCGACCCAATGAAGCTCAAGACTGATATCATGAATTTTTATGAATCGGCAGTTTTTAATTTTGCGTTTCATAGGCGTAACTAGGGGGGGGGGCTTGGGGGGCTAAGCCCCCCCCCCAAACAAATGTTAGCCCCCCCTGTCAAAATTCCTAGTCCCACCAACGGTAGCTACATTTTTCAACTTTAATTTTAAATATCGTTTTTTTTTTTATTAATATCTTGGAAAAATATTTATTTTTTTTTGGTTATTAAATTGTTATGTAATGGCCCAGACGGCCAGACGTAATACGTATCATGTCGAGTAGTATTAACTACATAAATACTACTTAGAAGTTGTCAACAAACTAAACACAAAAATAGTCGTAAAAGACGTACGATTATTCGTTATTAGTGAATGGTTAGATTAGAATTATGAAACTGACTTAAAATCCGAAATTTTGGTTGCGAAAAATTGTTATGATACTCAATTGGAAAAGATTAACAATCGTCAGGAACATTTAAATCAGCTAAAAGGTATCGTGGAAAAATCTGTTTTCCCAAATTTATACAAAATGCTACATTTAGCGCTTTCAATTCCTACAAGTTCTGCATCTTGTGAAAGAATGTTCTCAGCAATGCGTCGAATAAACACTTATAAAAGATCAACCATGCTACCAAATCGATTTTCAAAGTTATCTATCTCCACTTTTTTATTATTTGTTTTATATATGCCATACACCCTACAAAATGTATGGTAATAAAATAATATATTATAATTTAATAATGAATTATATTTGAGGAACGTGTATGGGGGGTGTGGGGGGCGGAGCCCCCCACATTTGTTATTCATATTAAATATGTTAGGGCTGAATATGTTAGGGTCCCCTAACTTTAAGGTCTAGTTACGCCTATGGTGAGTTTATAGATACCTAGCTGCAAGGAGAAGAAATCTATACAGATGAAGGTAGGTAAGTTTAGCTAATTTTTTCCAAAAACATCACATGGGTGATGGGTGTATTTTATAATAGTATATCATACATGATTCATAATAAATGTTGATAGGTATTAATAACTAATAAGTTAGGTATAAGTTTTAAGTTAATACCGATGTGGCGACGTACGACGTAGGTACTTTACCATATAGAACGGTTTGAATATAGTGGCGTGATTCGTGGTATAAATTAAAATTAGTCCAATGTTTTAAATATTTTAACACTCATTTAAATTGTATAGAAAATAATAATATATATATAGGTGAAAGTTTCAAGTCCATAAGATTATTATTATTTTTTGAATTACATAAGTATACCTAAAATGGTAATTTTTAATTAAATACCTACCTATTTCCAATTTTCTTCATAATTTTAATTTTTCTTTGTATTACATTTTTAAACCTGAAAGACAGTTAAAGCAATTCAAATTAAAAATGATATGTAGATTTAATTTCAAAATAATTTGTAAATTTTCATCAATATGATAAGTTTTATTAAAATTTTAATATCAAGCATTTAATATCTACAATAACCTACCTATAAATAAAAAAAAATGTGAGATTATTTATTTTCAATATTTTAGAATAAGAAGAACAACTTACGAGGAACGCTTATACTTAAACGTTTTGACTAACAAAAAAACTTCATCAATATAAACTGGAAAAAAAATCAAACATTTGAAATAATTAAAAGCTTGATAAAAACCAAATAATTTTTAAATACCTATAGAGTATAGATCCAATTTTCTACTAGTCGCAAGATGCAAGTTGAGGATTAAAGATTTTTGTTTTTACTTTTACTGATTCAAAAGATGATGACTGATGAGACACAGAAACACACACACACATGGTTATAAAACACTTTATTGGTGGGGAGGGGTGTACACTGTACAGCTAACAACCCCCCTCCCCGATTGCACCACTGTTGTATAACCAATACTGCATTCACCACTAAGCTCATAATCTAAAATAAATTGTTTAACAGCAGTAATATATGAAAAATTATTTGGACTTGGGAGTACTAATTAAACGACACTAACTCATGTACAGTGGATAATGCAGGTTAGGAGTGTAAGTACCTATGCGCACTTCTAACTCCTAAGTCCAATTTACATAGGACGTTGTATACTCCTAAAATATTAGATAGGTATAGGTATTATTAACAGCATTATTTTTTTTTCCTATTCACAAGTAAATCGTTTCGTCATGAGACGTTATTTTTTTAATTACAATTTTAAATACTAAAATGAATAGGTATTTTAAACAGAGTCTTATACTCATATTTTATAGTAAGTTATAGCCTATAGGTAATAGGTTCCTAATTCCTATATTGTATGAACAAGTAACAACTGTCTACAAGCGATCTACTATAATTTCACTGCGTTTAGTCGCTTTTACACAATTTATGTATAGATCGATAATAAGAATAATTTTTGAATTCCTACATACACTTCCCAGTTCCCGTTTTTTTTTTTTTTGACAATTATTACTTATAGTTAAAATAGTTAAAACATCAAATATGACGTAATAAACTAATACCTAACAAATACAAAATATTAAAAACGATAACCGTTATATAACCCATTAGGTAAGTACAAATTTTCTTATTCGTTTTATTCTTTAGTCATAAATTTATAATTAATTATTAATATCAATTAAACATAATATTTATTTTACAGTTGAATAAGACGTGTGGTCTGTGAGTAAAACAATATAAATTATGTATGCCATTGTTTGGTAATTTTTACCATAGGCCATTAGCTAGGGTAATAACTACTTCACCTATGATTTACACAGTCTCACAGATTACCTACCTATACATCATATTTATGTTACGTTTAGTTATTGAATTAAAAATATAAACATTATAGTAGGTAGGTATAGGCAATAAATAATAATATTATAATGCGTAATGCGACTGTAATAAACCTACGCTACAAATAAATTATTGATTATTATTTTCAAATTTCAATATTTAAAAACGTAAGTTATCTACATGATGTTTTTATGGAAAAATCTAATTTATTTTTAAATGATAATATTAAAAGGATGTCAGCGCACTAATCTCTCTGTCACCCACCCACAACACAGACAATTTACGTTTAGCAGAATCAACCCTGTTTTATTACTTCTATAATATTATTAGACTGAATTCACCCATTATCAAACTTAAAGTTATGAACATTACTATTTACTTGTGTAATTGTGTGTTGTGTCCCTACTTTGGATATTTTTGATATTTTAATGGTTATGCTAGTTAGAAGAGTGTTAATTATTACAGTTTTAAAATGCTTATAAATTGTATAAAAATTAAAATATCGTAAAAAATCCAAAGTAGAGACAAATATAATGTTCTTAGCCATAGGCGTGTCTTCGGGTCTTGCCTGTCATGCACAGGCATGACCTGCTAAATTTGATCTAACTTACATTATAAATTGCGGTACATAATAATATACACTTTTTTTCTTAGATTTTGATTTCATATTAAATTTTTTGATTTTCATCATGTGGACTTTTAATATTTATTACAATTATTGAAATTTTTTTTAGGGGGTGGGGGTGCAGAAACCTACTTCCCCTGAATATGCCACTACTGTGAATGACCTGCGAACAAGGTCTGGACACACCTATGTTCTTAGCTTAATGTTTAAAAATATGTGAATTCACTGAAACTTAAATATTGAAAGTAATAACACAGGATTGGTTCTGCCAAACATAAATTTGCTATGTTGTGCGTGGGTCAGAGAGAACAAATAAATGGTGCACTGACATCAGCTTAAGGTCGATCACCCAAGCGAAGCTCATTATGAATAGAACACCATTCAAAATTATAAAGTTAAACTCAAATTTGAACCTATTATCGTACTCGTATTTTGAAAGCAGTAACAACGAACGCTGAGTAGAACATTGGGTAGTACTTCAAACAATTATTTTAAACTAGGTACCGCGTACCTATATTGTTTGGCAAAGAAGTGACCGACTGGCGTCATATTA